GCTGCTTTCCTTGCATGTAGCCAAAAGCAGAAGAAGAAAGAAGCAGCAAGAAGAAGCCCAGTGGCCAGGCGAGGCAAATGGGGCGAGTGGGGAAAGTTTCTTCCCTTCGCCTTTCCTACCTCCCCTAACTACCGTGTGTTGCAATGCAAGCGATGCAAGCCTTGTGTTCCTGCAGGCCATGTGGGCAGCGCAGCCTTGTGTTCCCGCGCAGCCTGGATTAATTGCTTTGGGGGGGACATTTCTCTGCAGACCACCAAAATTTTCTCGTGGACCACCAGTGGTCCCCGGCCCACTGGCTGGCGACCCCTGCTCCAGAAAGCCTCCGGAGCCCGGGGAGGATGAAAATGCACCCCCCCCCATGGCCCGTTTTCGTAACCAGAGTGGTGCAGGAGGCCAACTAGGCCACGCCCACCCAGCATCTGGGCAGAGAACTGGTTGTTAAACTATTTGAAGCCCACCCCTGGTCAAAATAAGTCTGAATTAAGAACTGGGTATGTCTGGACTACCGGAGAAATTAGGGGCGATCTTCCAAGATCTAAGGGGCTGCTACAAAGAAGAAGGGATGTGTGTCAACTTATTCCCCAAAGCATCTGAAGGCAGGACAAGAAGCAACGGATGATGGAAGCTGTTCAAGGAGAGATCCAACCTAGAAATAAGGAGAAATTTCCTGACAGAACAATTAACCCAGTGGAACAGCTTGCCACTAGAAGTTGTGGGTGCTCCATCCCTGGAGGATTTTAAGAAGAGACTGGACAGCCAGTTGTCTGAAATGGGAGACTGTTTCCTGCACTGAACAGGGGGTTAGACTAGAAGACCTCCAAGGTCCCTTTCAACTCTGTTATTCTCTATTCTTGGAAAGTCCATTGATATGGGCTTCTAAATCTAGAACCCTTAGACCCCAAGGAGAAGTTTCAGGGGGTGGAGGGAAAAGGGGGTCACCACTTTTATTTCCCTATATGTTTCTATCCCCTATTCGTTGTTACTAAATATAGGTAAGTTCTCAACGTGCGACCAACATTTTTGTTGTTAAGCGAGACGTTTATTAAGTGAGGTTTGCCCCATTTTGCGGTCCTTTCTTGCCGCCGTTAAGTGAATCACTGCAGTTGTTAACTTAGTAACATGGTTACTAAGCGAACCGGGCTTCCCCTCCGTGGAGTTTGCTTGTCCATGGGGGGACGCCTTTCACTTAACAACTGCGGTGATTTGCTTAATGAAGCTAAAACGGGGCAACGCTCACTTAATAACTGTCTTGCTTAGTAATGGAAATTCTGGCCTCTATTGTGGCCGTTAAGGACTGCCGATGACAACTGCCCATGTTAAGGATATAAACAAAGAAATTAAATTATACAATGAGGTGCTGAACATGAATCTGTGGATGAACATGTGAAGAAATAGAGGAAAAACATTCGTGTTTAATGATGCTTCTTTTACAGAATGTGATTATATGCAAGTTGTGTTTTTGCTGTTGTAAGGCTAAGCAACCTGAAGTAAAACGTAAGACGTTTAGTAAGCAGGAAGTTAGGCTTACGTTGCGAGAGCCTGATGGAAATTCTCAGGTGTAAATTATTTACAAAAGAAAAAAACGGTGGAATTGTTCTAAGTAAACTTTGGTTATTACACCTGAGAGTAAATATAAAGAGCCGAACTGAAGCCATTTTGTGCCTGCAGTTTGAACTTTTACAGCTCAGAACAGTTATGAAATGTGTTTTCTGCTAGGAATAATATTGCAACACTCTGTACTTGGCATGAAGTTAGAGGTATGTGCTGGGGTGCTCTGTCATTTATAAGTGTCACATTAAAAGATATTAATGTTTCCTTATAATCCTCTGGAATTTGATGTTGAAAGTGGCCCATGAGAGGTTGGAACCTTTTATGAAAATGTTGTATAACATCCGTATATGGAAACAGGACGTATTCTGTAACCGTGTGATTTGCTAAACCTATATAAGCTGTATTCACTAAATGGACGTGTCTCCTTCCTCCTAGAAAACGTTGTTTTTCTGGAGTAGAGGGGTCCATACGGCAGTATTTTCCCTAACAAAGCATCCTATGGATCGGATTATCAAAAGTCTGTTGATTCATTTTTATGTACTTCTCACAGATGCCTTCTCTGTAGAGAAGCTTGTCATGTTTTGTTTTGTTTTGATGCTAGCAGAGCGAAGTGCTAGAAACGGCTATATTTTTAATTTTGGAGGCTAACGCGGCGGGAATGTGTGTGCCGTTTATTTTTAGCTGAACTTGAAACACAACTCCACACCCACACCCACCAGTGGCAGAATATTTGTGTCCTGCACACTCGGCTCAAAGGGAAGGTTACCATCAGGGGTGGGGGTTCAAAAAATTTCAGCAACCGGTTCCTCTGCCCGGTTCTCTGTTGTAACTTTGAATGGTTACTAAATGAATGGTTGTAAGTCGAGGACTACCTGTGCAGATTCCAGCTGGAGGAGACAGTCCCTAAGGTATGAAACCAGGAGACAAGTGAGTTCTAGTCTTTGGAAGCCTTAGGAGTGAAAGCTGGCTGGGTGACTTTGGGCCAATCACCAGGAGACGGTGAGTTCTAGTCCCGCCTCAGGCATGAAAGCCAACTGGGTGACTTTGGGCCAATCACCAGGAGACGGTGAGTTCTAGTCCTGCCTTAGGCATGAAAGCCAACTGGGTAACTTTGGGCCAATCACCAGGAGACGGTGAGTTCTAGTCCTGCCTTAGGCATGAAAGCCAACTGGGTGACTTTGGGCCAATCACCAGGAGACGGTGAATTCTAGTCCTGCCTTAGGCACGAAAGCCAGCTGGGTGACTTTGGGCCAATCACCAGGAGACTGGTGAATGGTCCAAAAATCACCCAGCTGGCTTTAATTCTAAAAGTAGAACTACAACTCACCTTCTCCTGGTGATTAGTTCAAAGTCACCCAGCTGGCTTTCATGGCTAAGGCAGCACTAGAACTCAGAGTCTCCTAACTTAGCAACTGCAACGATTCCCTTAACAACTGTGGCCAGAAAGGTTGTAAAAACAGGGCAAAACTCACTTAAATGTTTCCCGCCAGTGGCCCGTAGAGCTGGCGGTAGACTCGGACAGTGAGGAGGTTGGGGAGGAACCTGGGCCAGTCCTGGGGTCTGGGGAAGGCTCTGACGAGGGCTCTGCGTTGGAGGCAGAGATGGGGCCAGGGCCGTCTGACAGTTATCAGCTGCCTTCAGAGTCGGAGATCAGTGGGGAAGAAGAACAGCTGGAGCCTGTTCCCAATGGGCGCATGCACAGAGCTGCCAGAAGAGGGGAACAACTAAGGAACAACAGTCGAGGACACCTGTATAGATTTAGAAGATCATGGCTACCTTTTGGGCTGCAGGGTTACCTTAACGGACAGGCCCTCCTTGAGTCCGCATCGCATCACCAAGCCCTTGGCGTGTTCGTCGCGGGGTGAGGAGCGTTCCTCCACAAAAGCCAGGAAAATGGTCTCCGCAGGCCGGTAGATCAGGGCAGGGATGCGGTAAGTGACGTCCCTATTCCTTGTGAAGAGGTGCCACTTCACAGAGTCCCTTGGAATGTCAGCCATCTTCTCTGGAGACCAGAACGTTCCTGGACGAAGAAAAAGTCATAGGTGTGAGAATCGGACATAAGTTATTTTTTGTTTGGTCTCTTGGTAACTTTGAAGAGTCACCGAACGAACTGGTTATAAATGAAGGATTCCCTGAACCCCTGAAAGATATTATAAACGATCGATACTTGTGATTTTTATTTATTTTTTAAAATCTAAATACAAAATCACAAGACAAGACTTATGCAGGACAGCTCGAAGCATGGAAGCAAAGAGTTGGGAGAAAATCTCTGGTCATGTTCAGTGAATAAATCTGGGGTGGTTTTAGAGCAGTTTTCTAAAGTTGGCAACTTTAAAATGGGTGGATTTAAAACTCCCAGAATCCCCCAGCCAGCATGTATGTGCCAACTCCCAGAAATCCCCAGCCAAAATGGATGACTTCAACTCCCAGAATGCCCCAGCCAACATGTATGTGCCAACTCCCAGAAATCCCCAGCCAAAATGGATGACTTCAACTCCCAGAATGCCCCAGCCAACATGTATGTGCCAACTCCCAAAAATCCCCAGCCAAAATGGATGGACTTTGACTCCCAGAATTCCCCAACCAGCATGTGTGGTCTTCAACTCCTAGAATCCCTCAGCCCAAATGAACAAATTCCCAGAATTCCCCAGCCAAAATAGCTGGGCTGTAACGCCCAGAATCCCCTAGCCAGCATGGATAGACTTCAACTCCCAGAGTTCCCCTAGCCAACACATATAGAATAGTTTATTGGCCAAGTGTGATCAGACACACAAGGAATTTGTCTCTGGTGCACAGATTCCCAGTGTACATACAAACAACAAAGGGATAAGTCATAGATCCTAAATCTTAACAATGCAATCATAAATCCTAAGATACAAACAGAGTGGATAAATCATAATATATCCATAGGAGAAGGTAGTAGGGAAGATGAGAAGAGGGAAAAAAATGAGAATAGCAATGTCTGTCTGACAGTTCTCAGCTTCCTTCCGAGTCGGAGATCAGTGGGGCAGAAGAACAGCTGGAGCCTGTTCCCAGTGTGCGCATGCACAGAGCTGCCAGGAGAAGGGAACGGTTAAGGAACAAGGGTCGACTTGGAAGTAAAGGCTCAGTTGGACGGGGAATGGCCCCTCCCATAGGGAATAAAAGAGGAGCGAAAGGGGAGTGTGGTTTGCAGGAGACAATTAGTTCAATTCATTAGGGTGAAGATCTGTTCCTGATTCCTTGCCAAGTATTGTCTGCTACAGTGTGGCGTTTGAAAGATATTGGCCTGGCAACTCTCCCAGCCTGATAAAGGTCTGTAGTTGTAAATCCCTCTTGAAAGATTGTTTTGCTGGAACTTTGCTGGATGTGAATGAGAGGAATTCACCTTAGCCTAAATAAAAGGGGTTTTGTCTGGACGAGGAGTCGGCTTTGTGATTTTGGGAAGCCCAGGTCAGACTACAACACGGCCCACCCGAGCTTTGTTTTTGCTGGCAGAGCCGCTGGCTGTTTCCAGGATTTCAGATCTAAGCACCCCGCAGTTGAGATTGACACCCCTGTTCTATAGTGACATCCTGCAGGGAAGCAGTTGAAACAGTTGATGTCCAGGACGCGAGGGCTCTGCAGATATTTTCACAGCCCTCTTTCTGGCTCATGCAGTACATAGTACTTAGATCCTCAACGGAAGACAGGAGGTTGCAATTGTGTGTTTTCTTCTTTTTTCCTGCAGTCCTATCGTTGGAACTCTTTCCCTGCTCTTTTTTTGATTGCTGTGCCAAACCAGATGGTTTATTTAGGTGCAAATGACAGGCTCGATAATTCCTCTGTGGAACTGTATATCAACAGCTTGAGCTTTTGCCGCTGGTGCAGAAAGAACATTCTTTGTGGTGCTTCTTTTTAAGGATGGTGTTGATGTTCGGTGTCCATTTTAAGTCTCGAGATATTATAGGATCTCCTAAACATTTGAAGGTCTCTGCTGTTGATTAAGTGTTGTTTATGTGAATGTTCTTTCTGCGCCAACTCAGAAAGTTCAAACTGCCCAAGGAGCTGCTGATCCAGTTCTACAGAGGAATGATGGAGTCTGTCATCTGCACCTCTATCACTGTCTGGTTCGGTTCTGCAACCCAACAAGACAGACACAGACTCCAGAGAGGAATTAGGACTGCAGAAAAAAACAATGGCTGCCAACCTGCCTTCCATGGAGGACCTGTATCCTGCATGAGTCAAAAAGAGGTCTGGGAAAATATCTACAGACCCCTCACATTCCAAACATAAACTGTTTCAACTCCTAGCCTCAAAACGACGCTATAGAGCCCTGCACACCAGAACAACTAGACACAAGGGGAGTTTTTCCCCCAACGCCATCACTCTGCCAAACAAATAATTCCCTCAACATTGTCCAACTATTTACAAAGTCTGCACTACTATTACTATTCATCTTCTCATCACTCCTTATCACCCATCCCTTCCCACTTGTGACTGTGTGACTGTAACTTTGTCGCTTGTATCCTAATGATTTATATTGACTGTTTCCTAGTATGATTTGATGGCTTATTGCACCCTATGACTATCATTAAGTGTTGTACCTGATGATTCTTGGCTCTTGACGAAAGTGTCTTTTCTGTTATGTACACTGAAAGCATTTGCACCAAGACACATTCCTTGTGTGTCCAATCACACTTGGCCAATAAAAGAATTCATTCATTCTGTCTGTCTGTCTAGCGTTGTGGTAGAATAGGAGGGTTTCATCTAAAATCTACTGCCATCTGGATGGATAGAAATAGAATACCTATTAAAGAAATAGATTAGTAAGCCTTACAATACAAGTTAATAGATTGATATAGAATACAATATAAAATATATAACCATTGGATGAATGTATAAGATTAAATCATAATGAAAATTAGAGTATCTCGTATAAAATGATGGAAAAATAGTTAAATGAATGTTTAATAATTGATATTATATAAGCACAAGCTAGACCGATAAGGTGAGAATTTATATAACTTCTGAGTAATGGTAAAGAAAAGGATAGCACAAAAGATTGTAACCAACTGACACACTGTATGTATATAATTGAAAGAGGGTTTTATGTTTTTATGTTTTGTTCATATGTTTGTTGTAAAAAATAAAAACTCTGTTCAAAAAAAAAGAAATAGAATACCTATTAATATAAGATTTGCGCTAATAAGATTTAGAATAGAGGTAGAAGTTAGAAAGAGGGAAAATACCGGTACGTATATTCTTATATAATATTTTAAAATCAGTATGTAGATGAATAGATCAGAAGTTGAAAGATTATGGTAATTATTAGTAACTTATAATTATCACTGTTATATCTTATGATTCTTGATTAATGTACTTTATTTTTTCTTTATGTACACTGAGAGCTTTTGCACCAAAGACAAATTCCTTGTGTGTCCAATCCCACTTGGCCAATAAAGAATTCTATTCTATTCTATTCTATTCTATTCTATTCTATTCTATTCTATTCTATTAAATAGTGTTATTATGGTTATTACTAATGTGTATTAAAATGTTGAATAATTAAAACAATGAAGGATTATATACAAGGTGGAGCAAATACTACAATGCTAACAACTTTAATCATAATATTTATAATGTTACTATAATGATATGAGTTTGATTAATGTAATTTATACAATACAATAATAATAATGATAATAATAAAATCTTTAGTGAGATTCACAGCCTTTGGGGCTGGTTGGTAGCTCAACAGATCGAGTCCTAACCAAGGACCTCCTCCTCCTTCCCCCGCCCCTCCCTCTTCCTCTTCTTCCTCCTCCTCCTCATTAGTATCAGTAATAGTATTACATTTTCCTCCGTTGGGATCTCTTCGTTTCTCCCCGCTGTTGTGCAAACACAATTCCAGCTGCTGTTAATCCGGGTAAAAATTAGACAAGGTTTAAAAGTAGATCGCTGGGTGGTGCTAGGTCTGTCAACCTCCAGCCTTGCCTTGCCATGCCAGGGTCTCCTCCGGACCCCCTTCCCACTGGGGGGGGGGGAGGAAGCCCACCAACCCACCCTTTTGGGGTGTTACTCACCGCCCAGCGGAGCCCTCGGAGCAAAAGGCGACCCTTGCAAGCAAGAAAGCCCAAGGAAGCGGACTTTGCAACACGGAGCAACAAGAGGGGCCGGGGGGAGTCTCGGTTCGGGACGCCCCCACCCTCGCCGAGGCTTGCTTCCAATTGCGGAGGGTCCAACACGGACCTCCAACCAGGCTGGAGAGTTGCAAAGGGCTGGGAAAGGCTGCCCAAGTCACGAGGTGCTCGCGGGCGCCACCGGCTAGGGAGAACCGATCGGGTTGCCGAAGGTCGAGCCTTCCCTCGGAGCGCC